CCGACTCGATGGCACTTAACAACAACAACAACAACAACTAAATTGACTTAATAAATAAAATGAAAATAATTAAGCAAAATAACCTTTGCTTTGACCATGTCATTCTACTTCTAGGAATTAAGTTTCTGAAAATAATCAGAGCTGAGAGTTATGATCTCAATACAAAGATATTCAAGGCAGTGTGAAAATGAAAATAATACAGAGTATGTAATTGCTATCATACTGCATTTGCTAACTTAGTGAAATGTTATACAAATTTTAAATTTTATAGGATATTTTTAATAACCAGGAAAAGTCTCAAGATAATACTTAAATGAAAAATGGAAAACAAAACCTATAATTTCCAATTCTTTGTATATGCTTTTGATATCAATGTTGTTGTTGTTAAGTGCCATCGAGTCGGTTCTGACCCATAGCGACCCTGAACAGGATTTCTGAGGTTGTAAATCTTTACGGGAGCAGCTGGTAGTTTCGAACTGCTGACCTTGCGGTTCGCAGCCCGATTCGTAACTACTACGCTACCAGAGCTCCCTTTTGATATCAATAAGAACTTTAAAAAATGTGGAAAAAATTTCATTAAAAATTTTTTTTTTCATTTCATTTTAAAGCCCCCTTGTATATTAACAATGGTTATCTCTAGGGGATGGAACTATAGGGTTTTTTTGTTGTTTTTTTTTCCACATCTTAGTACTTTCCAGCTCTTAAAATACACATATTTAATTACATCATTAGGAAAGCCAAACCCTGTGGACAGGATTTCTTTTATGTATTTATTCATTTGCTGTTAAAATAAATCATGGTCCTTCTCCCCCTGGGAGACTGGGCTGATGCAAGACTCAGGAAGGGAGAACACCAAAAACCCATCCCTTAATTCAACCCAGGATGCTGGCCCCTTCTCAGTTTCCTTCCCCCCTTTGTCTGAAGCTAACAATCTGTCTTAAAGACTCAATTCCTTAACATGGTCAATGAGACCTTATACTCTTATGACCTGGTCCCCACAGGCTTTCATGAATTCACATCTCCCATCCTCCCTAAAGGGCTCTTAGTTGAAACAGCCTTCAAAACTCAACTCACCGGCCCTCTGGTCATGGTGCTATGTATATTTCCATTCTAGCATGGTCTACTGTGGTGTGATTATGTCTTCTTCTCTCCCACTATACTGTAAATTCTTGGCGAGCAGCCCCACAATATGGTTTTCTACTCATCAGTCTTCATTTACTTTATGCTCCGTCACATGTCTAGACACATAATAAATATTTGTTGAATGAAATAAGTAATTCTTCATCTGTCAAATAAAAGGGACCCACCTAGATTTCAATTCGAAAAGTTGAAAAATCCAGATTAGAAACCTCTAGGGCTGGCTACCCTAAAGCCTCAGGAGTCCCTAGATTAGGTCACCCTCATTCACATATTAAACTAGTCGATTACACTTCAGAGTCTCAAAGTTCACAGGGAGCTCCCAGACCTAGGGGACCTGACCGCAGAAGACAGGAAACCCTGGTGAGTCACCAAAACTTTTTTTTTTTTTTTTTTTCAAACTACTCCAGTCTCTCTCATTGCTGCAGTGACTAGATGGTAATGCACCTAGCAGGAGAGAAGTTGCACAAAAAATACTTCCTCCAGGTTTCTACAGGTGAGAAAGTGTATTCAAAGTGACCATAACAAACACATCCTCTGGACCAGGCATAGTTTCAAATGCTGTACATTCTTGACAATCCATATACATTCTTGACAACATATACACAACTTGACAACAACCCTTCACAAGACAGTTACCATTATGATTCCATTTTGCAGATGAGGAAAGTGGAGGCCCAGCCAAGTTGTACAAGATCACAAAGTTAAGTAGGCTGCTAGGATTCCAACTACAACCACAATGCTTGATCGTCTCATATACTTTCAAAACAAACAAAAAAAGTTGTCCAAATTAATGACATTCACTTGATCCACTGAGAATTCCAGACCAGCACTTCACTAAGGGGCACAGGAGAGAGGGAGGTGGGACCTTGTGGGTCACAAGGCCTGCTTTTTCAGGCTGAAACTCAAGAGCCCCAATGCTTGTGGAATGAACACTGACAGGTTCCTCCCTTCCCCAAAGAGCAACAATTCACTGGTCTGTGGGGAGCTTCAGCTTTCTGTCCGAGCTCTGTGTGTGTGTGTGTGTGTGTTTTAAGAGGACACCAGCCATGTGCACATCCATAACCAGTAACTCTACTCCCACTAGGACCCAAACGCTGTGTTTTAACTCTGGGTGAAGTAACAACCATTTACCAAGCCTTCTGCCCTGCAGGAGGCCCAGGCAATTGATGGACGTGGATGCAATTCCATGCTCACACACAGTAGGGCATCAGGCCAAACAAAGGATACCATCTACAAATGAATCCACGCTGCTTCTCCTGGGCACCGAGCACACTGGCCCACAGTGCATTCTCAGCATTCACTAGGTTTAGAATAAAATCCGAAATCGTTACCATAGCTTCTAAAACCATACTAGCTCTGCCCAACCTCCTCTCCCCCCACTGAACTCCAACATCATGAGTTCTCTTTCGTGCCACCGTGTTCAGCTCTCCAACTAGATTTCTCACCTCGGCTCTTGGCCTAGCTAGTCCTTCTTTCTCATCGATAGGATTTCATCTCACCTTTTTCCTCCAAGGACTTCCTCAGTTCCTAGCATTAGGATATTGTTTGGCCCACAGGCAGTCGACACTTCAACAAATGTATTACGGACTTCAAAAAGTTGATGAGAAAATAGATTTACAAGATAATGCCATTTTTCCACTAATTTTTTTAAGCCTCATATTTGTTGGGCTTCTCCACCCCACCGCTGCTCAAAATTAACTGGGAGAAATTCGTTCGTAAAGAAAATATATGCAAGCAATAAAACTGCAAACCAACTCAACGCAAACGTCCCAAGAAAACCCTTTGCTGAGAGTACACTTTTTCAAAAGCGAAACCAGAAGGGCCGGCATGGGTCTGCTGCAGAGCGTTGCCTACCTTGAACTCCGCGGAAAGTTGGGGCGTGTATTCGCGCGTCCAGAGCGCACGCACCAGCGCCGCCAGCTGCTCGGTGACCTCGGCGCGGCCCGGCGCAGCCCGATAGCGCCCCAGAGCCAGGAACTCGGCCAGCAGGTCGGTGTTGCTGAGACACTGCACCACGGCGTTCATGAAACAGGTGTTGCCGTGGTTCTTCAGCCCCTGCGCGCCTGGGGGCCGCGCCCCGTCGCACGCGGGGACTTGGGGTTGGGGTCTGGGCACACGCTCCTCTCCCGGGCTTCC